TTTTGATCAGGCCATGAATTTTAATATTTTTATGTGTACAGTTGATGAAAACATATGCAAATGGAATTTATTTTAATATTTTTAAGTGTAAAATTTATCTTCATTATTTGTGTAAATTTTAGAGCATACGATAAATCAAATAAATTTTAAATTTATATGATTTTTTCAGACATAACAACCGAAACACAATATATATTTTTCAATAATAAAATGTATAAATATTTGTAAATGTGATTAAACATGTATAATAGACTACATCATAATAAAAATATATGTATAGCATACTAATCTAAAATAATATCTCCACAATATATAATATTTTTATAAATATAATTATAAAAAATTGTTACTATATAAAAAAAAATTAAAAAGGTGATATGGTAAATCATAAATATTATATTTAGTTGACTTTAAATTTGTAAAACATGTATTAGTGGAGTTTTGTTATTAAATTAATGAAAATATGTAAAGAATTCTACCATGACATATAATTTTAATTGAAATGATTTGATTGGTTAGTCCTTAAATCTCGCATTGAGTGACACATAAGATTTTCCATTTAGTGTTTTTTCAATTAATATATAGAGGATANTGATGTATATTTTGGTTTTATCTAACATCTACTACATGTTTGATTAGGCTATATAAGAATTTAGGAAGTTGATACCAATAAATAAAATTTATTAGAGATAAAAAGTTTGGGAATTTATATTTTGTAACTGTTTGGAAAAAGTAAGTAAAGAATTGCATTGATTCCAATAAATCGTCTAACATTTTGTTACTTGTTTTTTTTTTTTTGTGTGTATAAATTTTCATTTTGTTACTTGTCACTCGATCATATACAGAGAAAATTTGCACGATTTTAGTCTTTTTGTCTCTTTGAGACAACGTCGAATCATATATAACTTTCCTCATCAAGGAGAGCATTTGACTGAAAGTGCGCATAGTTCGAACGTCAATCATATTGCCTAAAGGTAAAACTGTATTTCCATTTCTATAAGTAAAAAATTGAGGTTCTTAATTAACATT